AATGCTATTTTGTTGCCAATATCTTTTACCTGATCTGAACAGTTAATTTCTAATCCCTCTACTTCTTACTCCCCCTGCTTTACCTGACTAGTTCTCTCACAAAATAAAGAATGAACGGTTTTTACAGTTCACTTTTTCGTCAAGTTACCAAGAAATCAAGACAAATGATATTCCTTGGTAGTCTGCCAACATCCTGACAAATATGACCAGGTTTAAGAATTGCAGGAAATCCATTTGACAGTCCTTTACTAAACTGATAGTTGAAGATATAAAATGCCATTCAGATGGTCTGCTCAAATTACGTGCGCTTTATAGATTATTATATTATGCAGTTTAGTATATTACTGCTTCGGGCATGTGGGAACCTGACTAGTTGCTCCATAAAGAAATCTTGGAAGTGGTTGCTTGCATTTCCAAAAGGGTTCAGAATGGCAGTTATTGGTGTCTCACATCTGGAAAGCATCTTTGCTGAAAGAACACTCCGTACAATTGTGATTGAAAAGGATCGTACAAAAAGGTTAGAGAAGGTGTAAAGCAGCTTTGTTTACCCTAAAGATTCACTTTGTAAAACCTTATGCCTGTCTCTCTATCAGAAATTGAATTGTTTGCAATCATATAGTACTGAAGCTTTTGTTAAGTATGATGTAAGTTCCCAATTGTCTGCCCATTTTTCACAGAAAAATTGTCATTTGAGAGAATTTGAAACTGCGTAGTTTTTCACATTGGAAATGTACATTTCAGTGATCCACTTCCTTCAGGCTCTTTTAAAACTTCCCAGGTTGAGACTTGTGGCTGTTATGAGCTCCTACAGCTGGGAGCATCTACTCCCTGTAACTTACCAGACTCTGCACTGAACTTACAGTGGACCCTCTACTTACGGAATTAATCCGTATTGGAACGGTGGCTGCAGGTTGAAAAGTCTGTAGGTTGAGTCTCCATTGACCTACAATGCATTGATCCATAACCGGCCGTTTTTGTTCCATTTTTGTTCCATTTTGGGTTTTTTTCTGGTCTGTAGGTCGATTCTCTGGCTGCAAGTCGAACCTAAATTTTGCAGCCAGAGAAGTCTGTAACTGGAAAAGTCTGTAAGTCAAGCCGTCTGTAAGTCGAGGGTCCACTGTACTACTCTTTCCTGTCTTGATGTAAGTCTTGTCTTAGTTCAAACAGTGACACAATCTCTGACCATCTGTGCTTTCTTGTCCACTGCAGAGACAAGGCTTTTAGTTTGCTTACTTAAGGGGAACATCGGTTAATGCTATGGCACTACAGTAGTTCATTTCCAGATCACAGTGTTCTGACTGGCAGATGTCCATTAAGCATTCAAATCAATCTTACTACAACAACAACAAAAAGGTTCAAAAGAAACGTTCTAGAAGGGAAGTGGATTTTTTTCATATTTTTAGAAGAGTCTTAAAAAAACATAAGTGGTTTTAGGAGAAGTGATCTCTTAAATGGAGATTTCAACGTGAACCCAGGTAAGCCCCATGATCCTCATGGACAGGTGGATTGATAGTTCTGGAAGATTCAAGAGCCCTATCGAGACACACAGTGTGTCTTGTGTCTGCTTGAACATGCCTGCAATGAATCTGAAACAGGTATGCCATTGTGCCCCATCTGTTGACACCATAGGTAGCATGCTATCTTCTATATTCTTTGCTTAATATAAGTTTTTTTTACAAAAAGTAGCTTTGAAAAACAGTATTAAAGAATAGCTTTTCATGATTAATAATTCTCAAATTTATATACGTATATCTAAATGCACCAGGTTACTTGGAAACAAGATGGCCACATTGAGAGTTCTCAGATGTTTTAGAATTTTAGCTTCTTGGGGGGGGGGGAGGAATTCTGACACAGGTATACAGTCAGAGGTTGTAGCATCTGAACCATTCTCAGCTTTCTTTCGCATTCTGAAATTCAAAGCCAGCCCACTTTCCAGTGCATTCTTCTAGAATCAGCATCTTTCTCTTTTTTTTTCTTTGTAAAGGTGGGGGACTGAGAAGGATGTATCAAGGCAGGTATAAGAAATATATTTGGAAAGTACATAGGAAAGAGGAGTTATTCTGTAATGGAAATCAGTTCGATGTGGTGCCTTTGACTTTCAGAAATGAAGGGTGTGGAATATGAATTCTTCCAGTCTGGAAACCCATGGTTTGTTATGAGCCAAGAATAACTCCCCCTCCCTTCAGAGCTTAGATCTTGCTCTTAATACATCCATTGCTGCTGCCAGCTTAACCCCCCTCAGTCAGTTTCCACCTTTCTCAGCAAAAGTAAGGGCGTGAAAAACATCTCAGCCTCTGTTTCACTTTGTTTGTCTAAATCTCAGCTGCACTTTCATCCCAATTAGGCTGTGAGATATTGCCCTCCCAACCCAGCATAGAAATTCATATACATCTTCAGTATATAGTTTTCCTAATGTCAACTGCCTTGCATGTACATTTTATGGGTACATTTGTGAGCCTATATTTCCCTCTGCTTAACAAACTGGCATACCTAAGTGACTTGGTGTGCCTGGTTGTAGAGGCAGGAACTGGGAATTCAAAGCCCCAATGTGCCTCCTAGGAGAGGGAGGCACACTGCTGAGGTCACCTGGAGCGTGTCTGCCTATGACCTCTGTGACCTTGGACAAGCTGCACAATCCTGGGACACCACCAGAAGGAAGGATAGGTAAAGCACCCCATGGTACTTTATACTTAGAAATCTCTGGATGAGTTGCCGTGAGTCAGAACCAACTTGGCAACACATCATAATTACAATGAATGATAGGTCATTCGGCGTTTGGAAGGCAGCTGTCACAGGCTGCAAATTTTTAATGTCATGAAGGGCAGCAAATTCTTTGTTATTTAGTAATGTGTATGTGTGTGTTTTGACAAGGGACGTGGTGGCACTGTGGGCTAAGCCGCAGAAGCCTCTGTGCTGCAGGGTCAGAAGACCAGCAGTTGTAAGATCGAATCCACGCAACAGAGTGAGCTCCTGTCGCTTTGTCCCAGCTCCTTGCCAACCTAGCAGTTCAAAAGCATGTAAATGTGAGTAAATAAATAGGTACCATCTCGATGGGAAGGTAAAACGGTGTTCCCTAGTCACGCTGGCCACATGACAGCGGAAACTTGTCTTTGGACAAGCACTGGCTCTACGGCTTGAAAAGCGGGATGAGCACCGCCCCCTAGAGTCGGACACGACTGGACTAAAAATGTCAAGGGGAACCTTTACCTTTACCTTTTTATGTGTGTGTTTTAACTCATAGGGAGGGGGAGAAAAGAGATATTTCCTGCCCCATAACAAAATAACTTAACTGCAGCAGGGAACTTTGCATGTTGATGTGTTTTAGTGGGGTGGGGAATGCCATTTGCTGATCCACGGCAATTAGCAAACTATTTGAGGCTGGTCATGAGCTCCAGCTTAATAAAGGCCTCTTTTTAATGGTCACCAATATGAAGGTTCTGTTCCTACCAGTAAGACCAGGGTGAAGATTCAAAATACTGACCAATAAATCTTGTCAATGCTTACGGTTTCTGCATAGATTGGTTTGTTTTATAGCACCGTACAGTTTATGTTTATGGGGTGGCATTGGCAGCTAGCTACATGAGGGCACAAGTTAAAGCAAAGTCTCATTTTTAAAGACAAACAAGTTGTATTTGGCATCAGTTTCATGGAGTGCAACCCAGTTCATCAGATGCAGGCATATGAAATATAGGGCAAAATCTGATTTCTTTGGTATGCTTGCAAAATAGCAAATGGCATGGTTTGCAGTGGTTTCTTGCCACTAATTTACACATCTGTGCTTGGATTTTTAGGCATGCTCCAGTCTGATACGTTTGTGCCCACCTAAAAATCTAAGCAGGACTCATTAATTGCTAGTGAGAAGTTGCTACGAGGTACGCAGTTTGCTTTCTACAGACGTAATTATGCAACAAGAAGGAGCCCCTGTGTGGTGGAGTGCAATGGTTTTCACCCTTGTGTAACCCAAATGTTCTCAGATGGCAATTCCAAGAAACCCTGGCCAGCACAGTTAGTGGTGAAGGCTTCTAGAAATTACAGTTCAAGAACACCTGAGTTACCCAAGGTTGAGAAATGCTGGTGTAGCAGATAGTGTGATGGACTAAGGCTCAGGATACCGGGATTTGAATTCCCGCTCAGCCATGGAAACTTACTAGAGGTATGGAATGGGTAAAGCTATTCTCAAATAAGATTTTGACTATTAAAGGTGTCACAGTACTATTGCTAGTAGTCATTGGTTTTTTGGATCAAGGGCCTCTGCAATGATCTTGAAAGCCAGTGAGACTCATGTGGGGAGACAAGGTCCTTCAGATACCTAAGTTGTGTAAGGTCTCATAACCAGTACCTTGAACTGGGCCTGGAAATTAATCACCAACCAGTGAAGCTGTTATAAGTGGGGAGTTATATACTGCCTATAAACAGATCCAGTCAGCAGTAAGTATAATTGAAACCGAATGTATAATCCAGAACCTGTCATTGTTCCAGTTCTGAAGCTGTAGCATACAAGCTGTGTGCCAATTCCACCCAAATGAAGCTTGTCAGGAATTCTGAGAATGCTGGGTTTTGGATTCTAGAATTTTAAAAGAAGCTTTTAGCCCTAACTATATGAGACATACGGTATATAGAAAGATGATACTAGGATACAGTCCTAGAAAGCACAGAATATTCTATTCATTTATTACTTTCTTCACTGTGGTTCTTTTTTAAGGGTAACTTTCTCATCTTTGAAACAGAATGAAGAGGAAGACACATACTCCCTTTCTGTGTGTGTTGACTAGGATATATTGAGCAGGAAGATTAAGTTGAAAAAAAAACCCACTATATCCAGCCTTCCTTTGAAAGCTGAAGAGTTTTGCAAATGATCCCCAGGTGTTCCACAAAGTTAAACACCAGGAAGATCTTAATATCCCAAAGCCATTTACCTAATTTCCCCAGAGAATGTGAACATGGCGTCATGAACATAAAGCTCTTCAATATTTATGATGCACATTCTACTTGTATTTCAGAGCTCTGGGATTTGAACAGAACATCCGTCTTTCATAGCCCGTCTGGATACCTTGGTCTTCATGTAATGCTTCTGGATGAGTATCAAGATCGACTCTTTGTGGGAGGAAAGAACCTGGTCTATTCACTCAGCTTAGACCGAGTCAGTGAAAATTACAGAGAGGTAGAGTAACTCCTTGCATACTGTACAGTAATTACAAGAAATTCTTCACAGCAGTTTTCTTCCCCAGAGAGGGAAGAAGACTTTATTACGAAATGTTTAGAAATTGAATACAAGGGATACAATCCTCTGGGAGCATGAGCGGAGCAAACTTGTTCCAAAATGTCCATGTTGATGGGGGTCTGTGCAGGTCAAATTCTTTGTAGCTCATGTTCATAGTTTTTATCTTGAATTCAAACATAATGCAGAACCATAATAATTGAAAGATATGCATATGCTTTTTTAAATTTTTCATCTCATTTTTCTTTTGTATTTGATGTCATGTAGAGCATTTAAAGTTCTCTATGGACTCCTTTTGTTCTGCTTTTCTTTATCACAGATTAATGCAGTTTATGTTATCCTGGTTTGAGGTAGAAACTGTGGTTTCATGTTGGCAATAGGATTGCTTTGGCCCCTGACCTCTCCTGTAGAACCCTGTGCTATGCAACAACAGTATAGACCTTCTGCACTAATCTGTGTGTAGATGTAAATGTAGACATCACATCTGGTGGCATCATTCTGCCCTCTGGGAAACAGAACTCTTACTGGTGTCTCTATCTATGTCTTTTAGTATGGGAAATGGCAATTTGTGTGGGGAGTGCTTTACATATTTAGTGAAAAAAATAATTTTCTAAAAAAGGAAGAGTTTGGTAATGTGAAGCTCTTAAAGAGATTATTGGATTACCACTTCCATCAGCCCTTCCCAACGTAGCCAATTATGAGTGATGGATGAGAATTATGGTCCAACAACATCCAAACATGGTCTACTTTACCCACATCGACTTTGTTCAAAAAACTGTGCAACATCTTTGAAGAAACATTTTTAAAGTACTGAATTATTGTATGGCTTCCAGACCAGCTTTTATAAATACTCAAGAGGGATAGCTATTAATTTATCTCTTTAGAAGAGTAATTCCTGTAGGAAGTTATCTATAGAGTTTCCACAGATGGCAGTGGCAAAAGCACGTAGTAGGTTTATTGTAAAATATTATTTGAATATGGTTATATCCTGGATCACAAGAGAATGGACAGGCATTGGACAAGTAATCTTTTTTTCGCTATTATTAATATGAAATCTGTAGCATATAACATAACAAATGGAATATACAGTGCCTAAAGCACGTAGTAGGTTTATTGTAAAATATTCTTTAAATGTGGTTGTATCCTGGATCACAAGAGAATGGGCAGGCATTGGACAAGTAATCTTTTTTTTCCCGCTGTTATTAATATGAAATCTGTAGCATGTAAGATAACAAATGGAGTATACAGTGCCTGTTCCTACAAGGAATTTAATTTCATTTGAACAGATGCATACGTGTTGTCTCACCTTGTACCCACTGAATACCTCTTGATTTTATTTGGGGAATTCAATACAAAATCAATGGTAAATATTTGTAAAACATGACACAAAGCGTACTCAAAAGTGTGGCTAAGAATACATGCAGAAAATCTTCCATACTTTTTAGTCTCTCTGCCTCCCTGACCTATTATGAAGTTTAACTTTTTTTTATAAGACAGAATTGGAGATGCCCTTTGTGAGATTGGTTTTCTCAACAAATACATTAATGAGTCGGTGGCTGAGTGAAGAATTGTTGAACATTAAAAATTCTTTGTTGATATTCTTGTTTTGGTACCTAGATTTTTGTTCAACTGATGACTTTTTCCTCATGTAAAAGTTTATAAATTTATAATCAACACAGATTAGTGCTTTAATCCGGTCTTACTAAAATTGTGTTGTGGTGTACTATGAATTACCAAGGGTTGACATCAAAGCCTCTTTCCTTTGTTTAGTCATAGGAAGTTTCATATTTATTTGTGATATTTATTTGAAACTGTTGAGAATATTGTATGATTTTCAAGTGACAGAACTCTTTAGAAACACTGTCAAGGATTATTTCTTGAACAATTTCTAGAAAACCGATGCTTTAATTTTAAAGAATGATGTAAAATGAATGCCACCTGGTGGCCTCTAGTTGCCATTACTGGACATTCACAGATGAAAGAATGTCAGTATTAAGATGCTTGAGTCAAAAGGAGTTGAAAGGAGTTGACTAAGATTTGCCTTGAACTGTGATGGGTAAAGAAATGCTATGCAGATAAGCTACATATTTTCTCTGAGGTCCATAGCCTGTGGATCATACTGAAAGTGAAATCATCACCATCACCCCCCAAATCACATCTGTTCATTCTTAAAAGTGGTATTCATTGATGTCATGTCAACAAGAGTTGTGCTCTGGAATTCCTGGATACAACCTCTACATATGACATGGAAAAGTGGTGTTTTATTTGCTCCATTTTGCCTTGCAAATTCTTTAGTACAGTGCAGCAGCAAGCAGAGCTTGCGTCATAATTCCTGTTCCAGAATAGTGTATAAGGTGGGATATTGTGAACCAGTTCTTTCTGTCTAGCTCCTACTTCACAATAGATAGTGGGGGTATTGATACAGGAACACTGATGGCTGCCAATATCATTGTTATGAATCAAAGTAACAATAAATAAAGGGGTTGCCTTTTTCAAGGATGCTGCTGTATTCTGAGACAGTTGGTATGTGGTTTAGAAATATTTCTGTTTTGGAAACAGAATCTATTGCAATGTGGTAAGATTCTGTGCCTATTCCAAAAATAGCTTGAGGTCCCCACTAATAATGCTTATAACAAAACCCCAGAATGCAAAAGAAAAGGGTGCTAAATTCTTTCTTTTTTCAAAAAGAAATAGGTGTTGAATTATTTCTATACTTCTACTGTTTGCCATTTTACTGTCCATTCTGAATATCCTCCATCCACATAAACCACATATGGAGAAATTTATAGGACAGATCTCTGTCTCCGTCCTGTGAGATGTGAGAGTTGTGCTGGAATCTTCTTCAGGCACCATCCTTTACTGCAGTTGTATCCAACCTACTGGCCTCCAGATGTGTTGGAGTAAAGTTTCCACTATTGTCAGCCACCATGGCCATTGGCCATGTTGACTGAGGAGAACTGTAACCCAGCACATCTGGAGGGCACAAGGCAGAGGGAACACTGTCTGAGAGGTTAATAAGAAAACTAAATGTGCAGCTGGATTCTGCAGGGTTCTGCAGGAAGATACACTGCAGATGTTGTATTTGTGGTGAAATAAAATGCTGCCATGTGCTGGATTTTTGCCTTACTTCTCAAAGGTCTCACTTCTGAGTGTGCACAGGTTAAAGAATATGCCATTCATTGGACATAGTCTTCATGGATTTCTTGCTTTAATCTAGACTATTTGTTCTATTTACTGCGGTCTCTGCACTTTTGCCTTTTTGAGACAGTGCTAGACAGATAAACTAACTGAATAGAGTAATAAACAAAACTGACCATATTTTACTAGAGAAGAAATGCCATCTTTAATATTTTCTACTTCATTCTCTATTGCAGTCAAAAGTCAAACTAAAATAACTCAAAAGAAAAGAAAAACAGTCAAGATGTAATCTGAAGTATTATCACTGGTTCTTAACCTTGGGTTACTCAGGAGTTTTGGACTGCAACTCCCAGAAGCCTTCACCACCTGCTGTCCTGACAGGGGTTTCTGGGAGTTGCAGTTCAAAAGCATTTGAGTAGCCCAGGTTAAGAACCACTGATCTAGACTATTTGTTCTGTTTACTGCAGTCTCTGTACTTTTGCCTTTTTGAGACAGTGCTAGACAGATAAACTAACTGAATAGAGTAATAAACAAAACTGACCATATTTTACTAGAGAAGAAATGCCATCTTTAATATTTTCTACTTCATTCTCTATTGCAGTCAAAAGTCAAACTAAAATAACTCAAAAGAAAAGAAAAACAGTCAAGATGTAATCTGAAGTATTATATCTCTCATTTCTCCATTCCCTTTAAAATGGCATAATTGGGAGTTATTTTGTCAGTTTTTGAGGAGACTAAACTTATTTGTTGCCATGCTTTTTCTGAGATTTTTAAGCACCTTGACAAACTTTTCAAAAGAAGGAGGGCTGGAAAAACAATGTTATCTTAGCCTGTTCTAATGGTAATAAAGGCCCTTAGTGTAATTGTGGTTTTTGTATTATTTCACTGTTTTTACTATATTGGAAGCCGCCTAGAGTGATCTTTTAGACCAGATGGGTGGGGTACAAACAAACAAACAAACAAATAAATAAATAAATAAATAAATAAATAAATAAATAAATAAATAAATAAATAAATAAATAAATAAATAAATAAATAAATAATG